CGCCAAACACCCCGGGTTCCCCCCCCCCCCCCATGAAGAAGAAGAAGAAGAGAAGAAGAGATTGGATTTATACCCCGCCCTTCACTCGGAGTCTCAGAGCGGCTTACAAACTCCTTTCCCTTCCCCTCCCCACAACAGACACCCTGGGAGGTGGTGGGGCTGAGAGAGCTCTGGCAGAAATGGCTCTTCTTCAAGGGCCGCTCTGATCAGAACTATGGCTTGCCCAAGGTCATCCAGCAGCTGCAAGTGGAGGAGTGGGGGAATCAAACCCGGTTCTCCCAGATTAAGTCCGGGCACTTAACCACGACACCAAACTGGCTCTCTGAAGACGGGTCTGGATCAATGTTTTCTCTAAGCCATGGAGTCTTGTGAGCAAAAGTTCCACTTTGTGCGCTACCGGCCTTAAAGTCGTCAGCGAGCGATTCGGCGGCTGCATCAACCCGTTTGCTCCGGAGTCCCATCCTTCCTTGGCCGAAACGAAAAGGTGTGAGCCGAAGGCTAACGAACTGTGAGCTGGCTCACACTAGCTCAGCTTAGAGGGAACACCAATCGGGACCACAGAGGAAAAGCGGGTCCCGCTGCTATAAAAGAGAGGGGCCACCCCCCCCCCCCCGCCTCCCACCCTCGACCCAGTCCACATGTCTCCCCCGGACACAAACACACACTCCCCTCCAATACACTCCCAGCTGCTCATCGACACGCATTCACACAGCCTGGGTGGACAAACACGCATATATATACACACACACACCACATTCCTGTACCTTGAAGACTGGCTGCGGCGGCGGCTGCCCCCCAGAGCCAAGCCCAGACCCCCAGACCCCAGTTGCACCGCTTGCTCCCCATTCTTGCCTGTCCCTGGGGCGACTCTGAGCCTGGGAGGGGGGCGGACCCCACCTCCCCAGCCGGAGAGGGAGAGCCGCCCCCGCTCGGCCAATGGCCTTTCTCTGTGCTCTACCGTCACCTGTTGCCAAGGAGAAGAAGCTGGATCTCGACTACAGAAGACAGATGAACGATTTCGACAAGCCGGCTGCTGCGCTCGGTCTCGGGGACAGGACAGCCCTCCCTTGCTTGCAGGGAAGAGGAACCCCCCCCCCCATCCGTTTACTGAAACATTCAGATATTTCTGTCCTTCTTGTGGGTCTGAGAATTCACCAGGCACTTCACAGAACTCTGAACTCTCACAATGCAAAACAGTAAAAAGCCCAGTAGCACCCCTTTAAGACTAACAAACTTTACTGACAGCCAGTTTGGTGTAGGTTAAGTGCAGGGACTCTAATCTGGGAGAACCGGGTTTGATTCCCCACTCCTCCTCCACTTGCAGCCAGCTGGGTGACTTTGGGTCAGTCACAAGTTATCTCAGAGCTTTTCTCTCAAGGGCAGTCCTTGGGAGAGCTCTCTCAGCCCCACCTACCTCGCAGGCAGTGTTCCCTCTAAGATGAGTTAGTGTGAGCTAGCTCACAGCTTTCTAGCCTCCGGCTCACACATTTCTGTCTCCGCTCAGGAAGGCTGGCTCCAGAGCAAACTAATTGATGCAGCAGCCAAATCGCTCGCTCACCACTTTAACGCCAGTAGCTCGCAGAGCAGAATTTTTGCTCGCAAGACTCCGCAGCTTAGAGGGAACATTGCACAGGGTGTCTGTTGGGGAGAGGGGGAAGGGAAAGGAGTTTGTAAGCTGCTCTGAGACTCCTTTGGGTAGTGAAGGGTGGGGTATAAATCCAATCTCCTCCTCCTCCTCTTCTTCTATTGTAGCATAAGCTTTCGAGAAACACAAAGCTCTCTTCGTCAGATGCACGGAGGGTATGAAGAAGCTGGCCAGAGATATATAGGTGGGAGAGAGGATGCAGGAAGTGCCATGTAAATGCAAAGCCGTTGCAAAACTCACGAGAAAGGTAGAATGCGCAATCCAGGCTGGGTGTGTGGCCCCTTCCTCCGATTGATTAATCTGAATGGGATACCTGAAAGGCAGTTACTTCTGGTAAAGAGATAACCATCCAACTATTTTGCAACAACCGACTAGCACAGTCCACTCCCCTGGATCAATGCAAAACAATAACCTCAAAGGCAAAAACGACTCAATCGGCAGCAGAAGCCAAGCTAACCCACAGGAAAGGGAAGAGGCACGGTGACTAGCAGAACGTCCGGTTGCCAACTGTGGGTTGGGAAATTCCTGGAGGTTTGGGGGTGTAGCCTGGGGAGGGTGGGGCTTGGGAAGAGGAGGGAACTCAGCAGGGTATAACGCCATAGAGTCCACCCCCCAAAACAGCCATTTTCTCCAAGGGAACTGAGCTCAGTAGTTTGGAAGGCCTCAACCTCTCTGCCCTGTTGCTGGCTCTGCAGAGGAACTGGCCGGCCCCTTGTGTGAGTTGGGATGCTGGACTAGGTGGACCCTCACTGGCCTGATCCAGCAGGGCTCTTCTGAGGTTCTTATTACAGGAAACCCTTAGCCTCTGTGCCCTGTTGTTGGCCCTCCAGATGAACTGGTTGGCCACTGTGTGCGACAGGAGGCTGGACTAGGTGGACCCTCACTGGTCTGACCCAGCAGGGCTCTTCTGATGTTCTTATCAGGGGAGGGTCTCGGCCTCTCTGCCCTGTTTCTTGGCCATCCAGAGGAACTGGTTGGCCACTGTGTGCGACAGGAGGCTGGACTAGATGGACCCTCCCTGGTTTGATCCAGCAGGGCTCTTCTGAGGTTCTTCTCAGAGGAAGGCCTCAGTCTCTCTGCCCTGTTGTTGGCCCTCCAGAGGAACTGGTTGGCCACTGTGAGCGACAGGAAGCTGGACTAGGTGGACCCTCAGTGGTCTGACCCAGCAGGGCTCTTCTGAGGTTCTTCTCAGGGGAAGGCCTCGGCCTCTCTGCCCTGTTGTTGGCCCTCCAGGGGAACTGGTTGGCCACTGTGAGCGACAGGAAGCTGGACTAGGTGGACCTTCACTGGCCGGATCCAGTAGAGCTTTTCTGAAGTGCATGTACAAATTAAAACTATTGCTGTACATTTTTAGATTTAATGTTTTTTTTGAAAAGGATCTTCCTATTGGGATGTGGATGAAGACACACTTCTTAGGGGTTTTGCCCCTGCCTCTCCTTCCTGATGCTGAAGGTCAAAGAAGACGGGG